AAATGTCTCGGTGAAGGCTTAAGATTCGTACAAAACCTCATGCACGGAAATACACTATATTACCTCACCAAATTTGATACTTTGAACTCAATGGAGCTGTCAAAACTGTAAAGGAAGGTCATCTCGACAAATAAAGGTTCCCACATCCAAAGCTCTATTTTTGACCATTAGTTATAAGATTGCTTGAAATAAGTTCAGAAGCCTGGGGACATAGGCTAAATGTCCATGTAGAATAACATGTATGTTTCAAAGCTAACAAAACCTTTGAAATTGCGTTCTAAGGTCATTTACCTGAAGTTTTGACCAAAGTCAATTGATTAAACTTCAAAAGATTCAAAATAGAATAAATTGCTTAAAAACCAAATGAACACCCTAATGATTGAACTAGCAGTCCCAATCAGTCAAATTATAGAAAAACATTAAATACCGAAAATACCCCAAACAAAGATTATAAGTTTATTAAATTCAAATACATATTATATGACTTGGTGAATATATAACTAAAATATATTTAATACGAATGTATTATAAGTATTATGACTAAATTTCAAATGTTCCAGTACTATTTGTTGTAAATTCTTACCAAAAATACCTTTATCACGAACACTTACCGAATTCACCAAAACTTGTACTTTACCACGAACTCTTGTAGATATTCTTATAGCTTGAGGCGTGTCGAATGACACTGTCCTTAAGGATGAGTGTATCCCCGGAATTCAACAAGCTCTTCTAGTATAAACTAGGAGCCAGAAACTAAGATTTACTAATATAAACCCAGCAGAATAGTATAAGAACAAGAAGGATCACTCGTTGTCTTTTTTAACTTACTCTTCATAAAAACACAAGAGTAAGTTAAACCCTTTATAAACCAAGGATAGTCATCAACAACGGTCAAAAGATTTGAGGGCTACAAGGGTGTGTAATGAAAGATAAATGGCTAAAGAATTGAATGCCAATTAAGAGGAAAAATAGGTTTATATTTAAAAGGACTTTAATTAGTCTATTAATGCTATTAAAAGTGCACAAAAGTTTGATAAGAAAAAACGGTTGTCAACGGGCAGGCAATTCAATTTGCACAAGTTATTAAAAAGTTTTCAAGAATATTATATTTTTGAGATATTAATATTATTTTTCCAACACTATTTAAATTAATTTGCATATTATATAGTGTATTATAATATGCATATCATACTGAAAAATGAATTTGTAATATATTAGTTATATATTCACCACGTTCATTGAAACATGCATATAATATGTATAATATAATGAACTCGAAATGTATTACAATTGTCATTTGTATTTATTTCTTTTATTGATGATGTAAAGAAATTATAATATACAATTTTCCTATAATTTTCATATACTTGGATAAAATTTTGGAAAGATCAATCTTAATGTATTCAAAGAAAATAAATATTATTTCTTCATCAAAATCCTTAAACATTAAAATATAAGTTGAAAGAAATTCTCAATTGTTTTCAATAATACTCAATCTAAAATCAAGTCTAAAGTAAGGATAATTAATTTTTTTTAAAAAAAAAAAAGAGAGAGAGAAAAGACAGAAGAAAAGAGAAGAAGGGGGAGGGAGAGAGAGAGGGGAGGAGGGGGGAAAGGGGCAGTGGGAGACGGAGATAGATTAGTAAAAAAATGATGTTATAGATGGTAAAAGATATTCTACTACTATAAGTGGTAATTATAAGGATAATACTTTGTTTATGTAAAAATATATTTATTGCCTCATCTATATTCTGGCGATTAAAATGAATCCACATTAATATTTAAATATTTACTCTTTTGATTTATCCTTCATTATTTTTATTTCCTTATTCTTGAACATTCTAAAGTCTCCCAAACTGTTAAACCTTTAACATTATGCAAAATCTATTGTTGTTTACTTAATAAAAACAAATTGCTTTTTGGTGCTAATTTCATCAAATTTTCTAGCATTAAAACAAGTTAACATTATATCAACTTTTTAAATTAAGTATAATACTAATTTTGTTGTATAAATTTGAGTGTTAGCCAGTCAAGAACTCTCATATTCAGAAGATGAAAGTGGCAGAACTGAGAATATTGCGATGGATGTGCGAGTATACTAGGAGAGGCAAAATTTAAAATGAAGATATCGAGACAAAGTGAGAGTGACCTCGATGCAAGACAAAATGTAGAAAGTGAGATTGAGATGGTTCGGAAATGTAGCAAGGATAGTGCAATGTGAGAAATTGGCTATGGATGAATTAAAAGAGAAAAGGGTAGACCAAAAAAGTATATCGGAGAAAGAACTATATAAGACATGACACAATTGCATCTTACTGAAAATATACCCTCAGATATGAAGGTATGGAGGAAACAAATTATTAGGGCACATGGTTAGTAGGTAGGAATGCATCTATACAAGAAAATAGGAGTGTCTTGTCTTGTAACCATTGCTAGTCGGCGTAGTACTACTCTTGTAGTTTTATGTTCTTTGGTTTATGTTACTATTTGTTGTTTCATATAGTTCGATTATAGGATTTTTGTTGCAGTATTATTCTGCAACTATTCGTTCTTTTTTTGTTATTTTCTATTGTCATTTGTACTTCAATTATAGTTTCCTAAACTATTTTTTTCTTGAGTCAAAAGGTTATTTCGAAATAGCCTGTCAAAGTCACGTTTAAAATAGAGGTAAAGTTTGTATGCACTTTCTTCCTTGGACTCTACTATGTGGGACTACCCTAGATATGTCGTTGTAGTAATACTAGTTTGTATCACTATATTAGCTTCTCAAATTCTTGAGCTAGGTTTTATTGTTCTCATTTTATATTATATTTTTTCATTGAAAATTTGTATTGTCTACATTCTTACTTTATAAGGTTTGCACATCTTATCCTTTCAAGATCTCACTTATATAACTACATTGAATATGTTATTATTATTCAATTTATATCTGTCAACTAGAAAAAAAATCTCTATTAAATTTAACTCTAGACCCTCAAACTTGTTGAAATTGTTGTGAACTCAAATCCTTAAAATATAGTAAGAAGTTTTTTGTCGAAAAGGAATATAACCACATACCTTTTTTTACTCTTGCATATGATGATTAAAAAAACAAAATTAATCTAATATAAAATAATCTTAATCTGGTAGAATTTGTAATTTAACTATTATACAAATAATTATTGAAAAGAATATTTATAACTTGTAATAGAGAATCTTATATATATATATATATGTGTGTGTGTGTGTGTGTGTGGCTTGATTTAACAACAACAATACTCTCCTTGTTCCAGGTTAGATAGATACTTTTTATTTTATACCATGATTTAAAAAAATCATTAATAAATTAATTAATTTTACTATTTTATTTTTTATTTGAATTAATTAGCCTCTTGAAAGGGGAAAAAAAAGAAATTATTGAATCTTCAAAATTTGTTTAAACCTCCAAAGTCATATTAATTATAAGAGTAAAATAAGAAAATTTTAATTAATTTTATCCTAATTTAACAAGTAATTAAATAAAATAATACAAAACAAATATATTTTTGATAAAATGTTCATCTTATATGAAAGGTGAGTAATAATTTTGTTGCATTTATTTCTCCAACCAACAAAATATAGAAACCTACTCCTTTAACGGCCCAATTGCAATTACAAGACGCTATGGCGGAAAAAAGTGGTAGTACCTATAGCAGAAGCAGTTGTAGTATTGAGAGCAGCGACGGTGTAATATTGGACTGCCGTGTTTACCGGCCAACATCGGAGAACAATTCGAGTTATGTTGCAGTATTAGTGCATCCTTATTCTGTGCTTGGTGGATGTCAAGGATTGATGAGAGGCATTGCTAAGGGATTGTCAAGTCGAGGTGTGATTGCTGTTACTTTTGACACTAGAGGTGCTGGGAAATCCAGTGGCCGTGCTTCTCTCACTGGATCTGCTGAAATTAACGATGTTATCTCTGTTTGCAAATGGGTTCACACCAATTTCACAACAAACACAATTATCCTTATTGGTTCATCTGCAGGTCAGGTCAAACTATATTGTGTTGTTTGTTACTAGATCCGTGACTTGAATTATTCTTGTATTTGAATTTTTGATTGATTGATTGATAGTAACAGGAGCAGCGATAGCAGGATCTGCAGTTGATAAAGTAGAGCAAGTGGTTGGGTATGTGAGCGTAGGATATCCTTTTGGTTTCACTGCTTCTATTCTTTTTGGAAGGCATCAAAAATCTATCTTACAATCACCTAAGCCAAAACTATTTGTCATGGGTACTAATGATGGTTTCACTAGCGTTAAACAATTGGAGAACAAGTTGAGGGATGCTGCTGGACATAACACAACTCATCTTATTCAAGGAGCTACCCATTTTCAGATGGAAGGTCATGCTTTTGATGCAGACATGGTCAACCTCATTCTTCAATTCATTACCACATTATGATCTATGAGTGATTTCATGTATTAGTTAGTTATAATAATACATAAATTGTGTTAGTTTTATACATGAATAATGTATTTCATATCTATCAATTATGATGTTCATATCTATCAATTAAACATCATATAAGTTATAGTCAGATAATATCCAACTACCTACCAAAGTTATTTCTGAAACACATCCCTTTCTTATTGCTTTGCGCACTAGCCAAATATTCTATGAGTACCTAAACAAAAACAAAATGTGATTTCTTTTCATGTCTAAAGACTTGACCTAAAGATGAAAGAATATTAGTCTATGAATGTCCTGAGAAGCATAGAGGTGGATTCCTTTCATTTGTATCAAGAATATCTTGTACCTGTATTAATGAGATCATACACACTACCATACCATCACAAATAATAAAAATCTGTTTAGGGAATGAAAACATACTGAAGGTGTAGTAACATCACAACTAAAGAGTAATAGCATAACATACAAAGACATCTCTAAGTTGTCTTGAACGATACATGCAACAAAAAAGTTGGTTTGAGCTGAAATGCGATGTTTGGCAGCTCAGATCCAGAATCTAAAAAGACAAATGTATTGCCAAACTGAAGCAGCTTTATTTAGGGGTTGTAGCATCACAACTAAAGAGTAATAACATTACATACAAAGAAATTGTCTTGCACAACTCATGCGACAGCAAAGTTAGCACAATCATCCATTGAACTGAAATACGATGTTTGGCAGCTAAGCTTCAGAATCTAATTAGACAAAATGTATTTGCCTACAAATGATGATTATAAAAAGGGAAGAAACTAAATAACAATGACATCCTCATCCGGATGATTTTCCGGTGCGCCTTGACCTCTTGCCCTCATCTCAGGCTCCATATCAGCACCATCATGATTGCTCCCCAGCGGATCATTCTTACGCAAGAATGGTGGTTCCTCACCTAATCATATAAATATAAATTATTATAACCATAAAAGAACGGAAGATATAGATGTATGGCTCTCAAAATCAAGTAAATAGTTCGGTTTGCATTCAACAGTTATCAAAAGGAGGGTCAGTCAATCAAAGAACACAATTTCCATTGTAGCATCTTCCAAAATTTACGCAAATCAGCTCATTGGATTCACCACTATGTGAATACGATAGACTGATGGAAAACTCTTTTAAGAACATCACAATGCATGTATTTTTGCTAGACTATTAATAATTCTTACAATGAATTGAATTAGGACATTACGATCCACTTCTCTAGTCATATCACTCATCACTGTCAGAAAAGCCAGATTGACTTTCATAGAGTTTACTGAAGAATTCACTTAGCTTTATTGGAAGCAGCTAAGTGGTAGAAAACATACTCAATTCTAAAAAAACAGTTTGAGAAATTGTAGGGAAAAAAAGGATACAAATAATTTTTGGAAACCATTCCCGAAAAATAAAAATTTGGACTCTCTTCAACAAGTGCTGAAAAATGTTCTCAAACTTGCGCAATTTTAGCAAAATCTGATTTCAAACAAATCATCAAAAATAAAGTTCTCCAATTATTTTGGCAAACAAACTCAAAACCCACATCCTGAGTAGTTTCTTATACTGTTTTTTTTTTTTTGGGGGAGGGGGGGGGGGGGGCAAAGGCTTTAAAACTTTTCTTCAATGCAGCAACTGAAAAGTGTGGCTTGTTTTTGAGGAATTTTGCTTTAAAACTAGCAGTAGAGAAGCTCTCAAACACAACATAGTAGGACAAAACAACCAAGTGAGACTCAGCTCAATTCGAAACACAAATTTTGGATAAGTTGCACCAATTTTAAAAGAATAACCTTTAACTGTAATTATTCATACCACTTCCACTCTCACAAACATCGGTGAGCTTGGCAATCACATCAATTAAAGCTTGTTCCTGTTCCTGTAATATAATCAGGTTTCAGCCGTCGAAAGAATTCAAATATGAGCTGAAGGAACTGTGGAACTTATTCTACCTTGAGCATTTTCTTTGCCTTTGCAAGCTCAGCCAGATCAGGGTGACTTGCATCAACAACCTTCTCAACCTGATAATCGACAACGCAAAAAATAAAATGACTTAGACATAATGCATTTTATGTATATATGAGTAATTCAGTTGGCCAAGATCAACACAGCATTGTACCTTCTTTATCAGTGTTGCTGTGTGCAGAATCTCAATTTCATCTGATGCCTTCTGTACGATTCTATTCTCTGATGCATTGACATCATTCTCAAATTGTTGCCTAGCAAATCTCCTCCCTCTTCCAGCACTTAGAGTATTAACTCCTCCATAGCCTGGCCCACCATTTCCTCGAGATATTCCAGGATCATCACCTATCCAACGAATGTCCATGGAGCGAATCTGCATTCAGAAAATAACGAAGTGATTTCACTAATGTATTTCCTAATGTCCCTGTTCAATGCAACAATATTGTGCCGATGTCTTTCAGAACTCTTTTCTTTGGGAAGGGATGATGTCCTTTGGGTGCTCATAATCAAGAAATGTATGTCGCAGCAAGTCTGAAGCAGAAAAGAATCCAGAATTTTTAGCCACCACAAGAGAAATGAAGAATTTTAGAAACATGTAATGGTCCTGATATATCTAGAAATACATTGGTGAAATAATCACGATGCAGAAATACATACGGATTTATCCAAAAGGGGGCTAAAAGTGGGGAATATACATAAACAGCTCAAAGAACGCACAAATGGCACTTGTATATACAAGGCCAAAAGCCACTGAAGAAGAACAAGTTTTAGTTTCTCTAGGTCAATTCACTGATTAGAACCATTATATTGTGGAAGAAACTATGATACAACAGTTGGATCTTCACAAGTTAAAAAGAGAAAGGTGAAAGACAAAGGAAATCATTTTTTCAACCCAAAAATATAGATTGACATCCATGCAAGAATTTGACCAATTTCCCACCAAAATGATACAAACTTATTTGGACATTTTTCAGATCAGAAGAATAAAAGAAAATGACCATGGTTTAACTTTGGCATTCTCCCAGACATGTCCTATGCACAGTAGAAGGTGAGGTTAGGGAGACCATGGAGGAATTTCATGCGGGGGAGAATTTGAAGGGGGAAAAAACTCAGCAGATCTTTCACTGTCATCGTCCCAAAAAAGGAAGGAGCAACAAGCATCAAAGACTATAGACCTATTAGTTTAGTCAGAAGCATCTAGAGATTATTTCTCAATATCCAACATATACTTTATATTCCTTTATTTGGAGGGTCTTTTACTTGGAGAAGAGGAGAGAACCATACAAAAGCATCAAGGATTGACAGAATAATGTATTCTGTTCAATGGGAGGAACTCATCACCCTCATTACACAATCAACTCTTCCAAAGTTGGTATCTGATCACAACCCAGTTCTACTGACTTGTGGAGACATGAATTTCAAGAAGTCATACTTCAAATCTGAGAACTGGTGGATGGGGGTTGAAGGCTTCAAGGAGAAAGTGAGTTTCTGGTGGTCATCATTTGTAGTTACTGGTACAGCAGGTTTTGTCTTAGCTGAAAAAAACTCCTAAACAGGAAATTGAAGGAATGGAGCAAGAATAACAGGAGCAACTGGAAACAATAAAAAGAAGCAATACTTTAAAAATTGGCCAAACGGGAGATCCTTCAGGAGCAAAGAGCACTTACTGATGATAAATTAATGCAAAAAGAAAAAACAAAAAACAAATTTGGCAACGTTTTTTGAAGAAGTTGCCAAAAATGAAGAGATAAAGTGGAGACAAAGATCCAGAATACAATGGTTAAAGCAGGGGGATAAGAACACAGTTTTTTCATAGAATAGCTACATGTCGCAGAAGATACAACACCATAGAATCTATAAAGGTAGATGGTATTGCAAATCAGAATTAAAAATAGAGCACGGAGAAAGATGTACAAATCAGAAAAAAAAAACAGATCAACAGAGAAGAAGAGAAGAGAAGAAGTAGAAAATTACGTTGCATTGCAGCTGCCTCATGAGTCGCCGCAGCAGTCACACAATGGAGGGAAATGTTTAAAAAAGCTTAAGAGTAAGTATTTTTACAGAAAAAAAAACCCTAGTTAGCACTTAAGTGAGCTTCTCACTTTAAATAAAAGCACGCTTCTCCCACATCGCTATAAGGCATTTAAGTGACAGGCTGTCGCTTCACGCTTAAAGCGAGCACTTCATTGCTTTTAATAACACTGGGTTTTCCATGTTCTCGGTTGAGATTCATTGTCACGAGAAGCTTCCTGAAGGACAAAACGTATCCACTTCATAATCTTGCCATTGAAAGTGGCTCAACGCATCAAACGACTGCTTCATTTTAACCAATCAAACCATAGTTCAAACCTTGAAAAGTACATTCAATTCTCCCCCATTGTAAGAGTCTGAATATCCACCAAAAATATGATATGAAAAAAGAGACGAAGTGGAGAAAGAGGAAAGAAAATACTTGCGCTGATCATAGTGGGTGAAAATGTGCTACCAGGCAGGTCAAACTCCGGCAAGAGTGCCAACAAATTTACAATCCTAGGAAGTAGGAAAGAGAAAACTCAGGAAATATGCTGGGAGCATTTCTGAGTTACATTTCTTAGAGGCATTAAGTTCCCCCATACTTCCTTTTGGTGTACCATTCCTCCTTGTATAAAATATTAGGTTACCCATATATTTTTGTTGGTTCTCTTTTTTTGGTATACCACTTGTATACATGTTTTATTCCCCTAACATTCAATAAGATGTTGTGCCCCTTGTCCCAATTTAAAGTATCTTAATTTGACTAGGCAACGGAAAAATAAGAATCTAGTGCTCTTAAACTGAAGATATTTGTAGTGTACCAAAATGCCCTTTGAATCATGTGGTCTTAAACAACCTATGCAGAATGCTGGAATCTGAGAGTTACCAAATATAGAAAGAGACGTTCCTTTGAAACAAACTAAAACTGAAATGGAGGGATTATTACTTTTATCAGAATAAAGCACCAAATTCATATGTACAACAAATGAAGCAGGAATGTGTAGCCAATTGAATAACAAAAGAGAGTACCTCTTTGAGATCAACCCATTCCCAAGTTTCATTTGGTGTATTCATATCATACACCAAAGCATGCCGACCCTACACGAAAAAAAATGCAAGTCATAAAAGTTTGAAATTCAGAGCACAAGCAAAGTAAAAGAAATGTGAAACCTAAAGGTCCCCAATTTATAAATAGCATGTATTTAGTTCACGGAACAGCATATCCACTACTACATTAGTTTTAAAACAACCATCAATTAAAGAAACTTCTGATTTAAGAGAAATATTAAAAACTAAAAGCGACATAGTCAAGTTTAGGATTACACTGAAAAGTTTTAACTCAACAAGCTCTGGCCTCAACCCCCTATGCCCAAAAAAAAGAAGGTTAAGCCAATAGCAAAAAAATCTTAGGTGTGATACGTTCCATCAAAGTAGAAAAAGTTCTATTTAGAAGAACCAAATTAAGAAGGAAGAATAAAACATTCCAAATAAAAAATTTAGCACATAGGGGAATCCTGAGAACTCATTGACTCTTGCACTCACTCCCCCTTTCTCTAAATCTTGAGGCTGAAAGAATAGGTAATTCATCTTGCTCTCTTGCGTTGTGTCTGAGTTCAACCTTAAACTACACTCCCTTCCAAAAAAAGGACAGTTTTGGCATGCAAAGAGAGCTATAATGGTAGGCTAGTAACACTCGGAAATCATGATAGTTTCTGATGACCATTTTGCACATCGGTATGGTGACAGATAATGCACACTTTCCCTATTTATGCACGTTGAATAACCTCCAACATACTAATTAAATCTAGAACATACATCAACAGCGCTGTAGTCAGTTATAATGGCCTCGTAGAAGTTGTTGTCATCTGGCCACCTAGTCATCACTCTTCTCCCAATCAAGGGGTCGCGCGGTCTTTCAGCAAGTTCACCAGAACGAAGAACACTTGAAGAACCAGGACCAGCCTGCTGATAATGAACAGGCCTTGAAGAGAACACTTGCTGGCCCTATTGAGAAGATAGAATGTATAACAAGTTAAAAGATACATCTATATCTATACCTTTGATAATAAGAAGATAGCTCCATTAGTTATCAAAAAACTTACAGGTCTAGACCTAAATCCTCCATTTCCTGGTGCTGCTCCCCATTTTGCACCTGGAGTAGTAGGTTGCGTGTTTGCTGCAATTGTCTGATGGTGCAAGGACTCCAACGGGGCACCAAGTGGCATTATCACAGATTGTGACTTTGCCCTCTTTCTTGACCCAGAAACTGTTGGACTGGGGAGTTGATCATGAATAGGTTGGTTTCCATTGGTCTTTCTCCACTCCCTGATACTATGAATACGGTTATCGGCATTCACCTTGGTCAGTAGGTCTCTGTGCTCATCATCTGACACTCTCAGCTCTTTCCTGAGTTCTGTTATCAAGCTTTCCTTTTCCTGAATATTACAGATTCAGTAAAGCATGGTGCCTTTCAAAAGAATGTCATATAGTTATAGACAACGAGAACACTGAATGTAAATGTTTTATACCCATGTAAGAGCATCAGACTGTGCTTTGAACGCTCGAAGGATTGCACCATATGCATCCTGCTCAAGGTTGTGAATTTCGACTTCCATATCAACATACATCCTTTGGTATGGGGCTGAACTTATATTAAACCGTCTGTTTCCACCTATAATACTTCTTGCAGGGGCTCGATTATATTGTGATTGAGGCCGATCATCATCAGTACCTACATTAAATGCAAAACAGGTAGCTTTCATTAAGCAAAAAACGAATCTGTAAAATAAGTTACTTAAAAAGAATGCTTAGCAGCCCTTCCTTCTCCACAGGCACAGTAAAAAGGTTGGTTAACATATTTGGTCTTTACACTAAAACATTACCTAACCAAATGCTTAATTTGTCATTATGGTAAGACATTAGCTAAATAAATGCTAACTGCACAATTTACTTTAGTGATATCTACATGGAGAGGGAGGGAGAAAATTTAGATGTGTGCAGCGCAAAGAGTTGGTTACAATCCTCACCTAGATTTATATTCAAGATGCTAATAGTGCATCGGTTGATTGGCCCAGGCAGACACTGTAAACAACACAATAAGCATATACGAAATATACAACTCATTCTTCTGTAAGAATGTGAAAAGAGACATTAAAGGGCAACAAAGGTGTCTTATATTGCACGTCACAATGGAAAAAAGTTCGTCAAATAGTCGAAAACATAATATGGAAAGACACATTTTATATAGAAAAGGAAACTCCAAATGATTTTTGTAATCATAATCGTATACAAGAGATAAGCAGTAAAAAGTCCACGATTGAAAATATTGTTCATAAAAAAAATAGAGTAAGACACCAAATATAACAAGATAAGTCACAAGTGCCCACACCCACAAGTCAATTTACATTTAGCGTCTTCTCAGCTTTCTAATTTCGATGATAACAGATTAACACTAAGATTTTTTTTTACATCTTCATTGCAAGTGTTTCTATATTTTTGAAGGTGACAAAACTACAAACACAAAACTTCCAAACTCCATTGCTACACCGACCACAACATGATCGGTGGAAAAACTCCACTATGCAAGAAAGCATCAAATTTAGTTCGCAAGCTTTATATTCAACCTCCTCCACCCAAGGCCCTTCCCCAACAATTACTCAATATTTCATGAGTTAGCTACCTAAGTTGCGCAAACTATTCATTTTGTTGTCGACCACGCGTCAACACAACACGGGTGTAGGTGAATGATTCGTGTGAGATTCAGTCAACCAACATCAGATGCTTTGACCATAGTCCATGGACATATTTGGGGAGGAAATTGAGATATTGATTTCTAAAAATAAAAAATAACAACAGATTTAGACCTGGGAAATGACATAGCTTCAATCCTTTTTAGTTTTTCTCTTGGTCAGTTATGCTATTTATAGTGTTTTCTTTCTCATAGAAAAGAGGGATGATTTCTAAATTAATTATTAGGATATTGCTTTTTGACAATTAATTTATGTTTTTTAACACTCATCTTGGAGAACGAAAAATTTAATTCTACAACATCAATGTAAGTTTTCCACAAAAGATCTTTATAGTTCTATTTTAATAATTTCGCGTTTTTTTAGCCCAATCTCAGTGCACTCACATTAGTGTTGTCGAAGTCGCGATTAACCCTGAACCGAGGCCGAAAAAATGTTGAGAGCTTCATGTTACTTTATGTACACTTCATGCCGTCATAAAGGTCCAAAGACATATTTTTCCTTGTCAATGAAACTCTTCTGAAGAAGTGACACTAAACAATTGATATTTCACTATATCTTAATCTTTTTTCAATTTCTTTGTACATATATTTTTCATTCATGTTTATAATTATTAATCTTAAACTAAGCATATATATTTGTATTTTTTTTCTCCCTTTGCGCCTTTTTCCATTGAAGTCCATATTTTATTTACATTTTGCGCTTAAAGTCCTAATAGACCTTAGAGTTTTTTTGCACTTTTCACCTTTGATAACACTGACTCATATCCCTACTAGATCCGTACCTCAAAATCTAAAACTTAAATTTTTCCAAATCCAATCCTTTGATCCGCATCATGTCGGATTTATGCACCCGGTTCCAAGCAACTTAGCATATAAGCAGGAGATTTGGAGCCTAAAAAATGGGTGGGCAATTACAGACGGCATTTATTACATATTTCCTTAAATCCAATATTTTTTAAAAGCAAATAAACCAAAATAATGACAAGGTTCATGGGACTTGAAGGAGAAGTGAAGTGCACAATTTATGTCAAATTAAAAATATCAAACACATAAAGATTTAGTAATAACCATAACACCCAGAAGAAATCTCAATGATTGGGAAGTCGAGGACTACATGCAATTGATCCTTCTAGTGAGTAATTTCATTCTTGAAACATATCTACCCGGTTGCATTTTCGGAAACCACACACTAAAGGGCTGAAGGGCACTTCTCTGTAAATAGCTGTTACAACACCCTCACGGTTTCAAACCCTAGTTTAGTTCCTTGGCCATGAAAACCAATTTGGAAGAGCAACTTCCCTTCAAGGGTCAAATATTCCCCTTGGATTTGTTATCATTAAGCCTTATTTTGATGATGACAATACTGATTAATGTAAATTATTCCTATCCAGGGCCATTTTGTAGAAAAATGGTAAAGTAAATTAGATAAGAAGAAGTCGGCTCAAGATAAAGGTACTCAAAACAAATAAGGGAACTTTGATGAAATCCAGAAGCTAGAGGACCAAGTGAAGACCACTAAAGGCCCAAACTAAGCAAAAGAAGGAAAAATTACCTATATACACAACTTATTTTACTATTTCTCTAAAATTATACCATTTCAAAAAATTTAAAAAATCCCTACTCCCGGATACATCACTCTTACGTGATGTACTAGGACAGGTGTGTCTTGTATCATCAGAGGTAAAGTATCGAGACGTTGAGCGATTAGAAGTAATGGAGCTTAATGATTTTTAGGCCCATAAGCCTTGTGGGAGGAGTATATAAACTTAGACTTCCTAATGAACATGCTACAGCGGACCGGTTTTGGTTCAAGGTGGCTTAATGGATCAAACAATGTATCAGCACAATAAAGTTTTCGATTTTGATAAACATAATACGATGTGGCTTTTTCTCCTGTTATAGGGGTGGCAAGAGGATCCACTATCCCCTTTCCTTTCCATCCTTGCCATGGAGGGACTAAGCAACCTCATTCAACCAGGAAAAAGTAGAGGACGGGTCAGAGGTTTTCAAATGGGAGACCTAGAGGTAAAAGATCGGCAATATGCAAATGACACTCGAGTGTTTTGTGGTGCCACAAGGGAACAAATGTTAATTCTCAAAGTTATTTTCAACATCAGAAAAATTGGGGGAAAGTGGGTGAACTCCCAACCACATACATGAGAATGCCCTTAAAGCCAAGAGCAAGTCCAAGAACATATGGAGTGGTGTGATAGAGAGAAGTGAAGAAAGATTGGCAAGTTGGAAAAGCCAATGCCTATCCTAGCAGACTCACATTGGTAACCAGCGTAATGGACTCTATTCCTTCATATACGATATCACTCTTTCCTACCCAACAGTGCTACTAACAGACGGGATGTTGTTAGGCGAAACTTCATATAAAGGCAATGTAGACAAGAAGAAATATAGTCTAGTAAAATCGGAGGAGATACTTCTTGGAAAGTAAGAAATGAGGGGGCTTAATCCCAGGGAGCTAACCAGATATAACAAAAGTCTGATATGAAGTGGTTAGGGAAGTTTGCATCCAAGAAGAAGCTCTATGGAAAGAAGTGACCAAATCAAAATATGGCATGCAGGATAGATGGATGACAGAGGAGGTGACAACTTCTTATAAGTGTAGTGTCTATGGCAACAAGAACAAGCTGCAAGGTTGGAAATGGAGAGAATGTGGCTTTCTAGAAGGATATAAGGCAGTGTTGTGAAAAGCGCGCTACAAAGCGAGGCAACCCTTGTGCGCTTCTCTCTCTTTAGGCGAGGCGATCTAAAAAAAGCGCTCGCTTTAGATAAAGAAGCGAGAAGTGACCCTAAGGCAAAAGTGCAATAAAGCGTGCTTTTTATAAAAAAGCGACAATTAGGGTTTTTTAAAAAAATAGGTTTTTTTTTAAAAAAAAAATCTGAAATATACAATATAACTTGATTTTTCTTTCATGATTCTTCTTTCGCTTCTTTCTCTCCTTACGACGGCGACTGAGGTTGCCTCTCTCTTCACACCTCGACCGCGACTGCAGGTAAGTTTTAGTTCATCTCTTCTTTAGCCGATGTTTATTGGTTCATCTCTGTGAGTTTCTTTTCTCCTGAAATATACAATCTTCGCCTATGCTTCATCTCTTCATCTCTGTGAGTTTCGACTGCTCTAGTTTTTTCTTCTTCTCTTCTTCTCTTCATCTCTGCTGCAATCTGCTCTGTTTCTAATTACTGACTGCTGCCTCCTTTGTTTTTTTTCAATTCTTTTGCTTTTTTTTCGTTTTTATTTTGTGATCAGTGTGTATGCCAGCAGCTTTTTCTTATTAGTTGTTGACACTTATTTTTTATTTGTAGTATTTAGTGAACTTTTATCTCATTCAAGATGTCACAAAAGAGGGATCCGGCTTGGGCATATGGAACTCCTATGGGTAGTAACACAAAAGTCAAATGTATCTTTTGTGATGTGACATACAATGGCGGAATCTTTCGTCACAAAAGGCATCTCATGGGTGGCTATAGAGATGTAAAAGTATGTCTGAAAGTCCCGGATAAAGTGCGGGAAGAAATCAAAGAATATATGTTGAAGAAAAATGAGTTTAAAACCCAAATGAACAATGAAGCATCCATGGATAATCTTGTTGATAATGATGAAATGGATGATGATGAATTGGAAGTGAATATCAATGCCAATGGGGCCTCCCTCAAAGCATCAAAGGATGCCTTCAAGTAGTGGGAGTGGCTCTTCCATCAATAGCACCGTCAAGGGTCCTTTGAATCTCTATTTCTCGCAATAATCAAACGAAAAGAGAAAAGGTGGACCTATTGGCTTAGAATCTTCTAGAAAAATTTTGAGGGATCGTGTTGTATCTGCTTTTGCTAGGTGGATGTATGATGCAGGACTTCCTTTCGATTGTGTTAACTACACAGATAGTTTTGGTGAATTCATTGAGGCAGTCGGCCAATATAGCCCTGGAATGAAGCCTCCCACCTATCATGAGGTAAGAATTCCTTTTCTAAAAAAGGAGGTGGAGAATACAAACAAGATAGTAGAAGAACATTAGATTCAAGGAAAACGTATGGTTGTTCCATTATGATGCATAAATGGACAACAAGGAATGGAAAAATGGCCATTAATGATTTAGTGAACTCTCCAAGAGGGAGTGTATTCCTTGAATCTTATGATGCTAGTAACTCTTCTATCGACTCTAATAAGATGTTTAATTTGTTTGAGAAGACTATCATGAAGGTAGGGCAAAATGTGTCAGAAGTTGTGACTGATAATGCAAGTGAGAACAAAAAAGCAGATAACATGTTGAAGGGATCCCCACATATTTTCTGGACTCCTTGTGCTGCTCAGTGTATCAACTTGATGTTTGGTGATATTTTCAAACAAGCCCCGTATTCTACAGGTGAACTTGAGTCTTGATATCTAATTTGCTTTTTTAAACTTCATGTTAGATTTCTTTACATTTTAACTGTCATTTTTTTGCAAGTTCTTAGCAAGGCTGTTAAGGTACATGTTCAATCAAAGGGCATTGTTATTGAATATGATGAGGAGATACACAAAGCAAAGAAATTTGGTAAAACCCGCCAAGACAAGATTCGCAACAGCTTTTTTGACTTTGTATAGTTTTTATAAGCAAAAGAAAATTTTGAGAAATTTGTTTATGTCAACTGAATGGAATGAGAGTATTTATTCAAAGGAACCTCTTGGTAAAGAAGTTGTGAGACATATCATTTGTCCATTTTTTTGGAATGACGTTGTTCAAGCACTCAGAGTTGGTGGTCCTTTAATTCATGTACTTCGTATGGTAGATGGGGAGAAAAAACCACCAAATGAATTACAGTTATGAAGCCATGGATAGGGCTAAAGAAAGTATTGAAAGGCATTCAATTATGATACAAGGAAGTATCAAAGTGTTTTTGAAATCATTTATGCAAGGTGGACAGATCAACTTCATTAGCCTTTGCATGCAGCGAGACACATTTTGAACCCAGGGCTCTATTACAAAAATAATGACATGAAGACTTTAACTGAAGAAGTGTGGCAGGGATATCATAAATGTGTTGAGAGGATGATCCCAAATAAAAGTTTGCAAGACAAAATACGGGAGGAGCTTGGTGTGTACATGAAATCGGATGGCCTACTTGGAATTAAATCAGCCATTAAAGCAAGAACCTTGAGGTCACCAGGTGAGAATTTCATCTTTTAATTGTTTACAACTTCAACTTTTAAGTTATTACACATCTTTTAAAATAACTCTTCTACAGTTGAATGGTGGATGCAATATGGTCATGATGTCCCAAAGTTGCAACAATTTGCTATAAGAGTACAAAGTTTAACTTGTAGCGCATCCGGTTGTGAGAGAAATTGGAGCGTGTATGAACATGTGAGAAACTACATTATATTAATACATTATTACTAATTTAATTGATATCTTAATCATTCCAAGCGCTCCTATTAATTACTTTCTACTATGTGCAAATTCATAGTAAAAAGAGAAATAGGCTTGAGTTGACACGCCTCAATGATCTAGTGTTCATCAAATATAATAGAATATTGGCGCGTCGTTACAAGGCTCGTAATACCATTGATCCAATTTTGTTGGATAGTATTGATGAGGCAAATGAATGGTTAATTGGAGCACCACAAGATCACCAATATGAAGAAGTGTACGAAGAAGAAAGTCTAACTTATGGTGATGTTTCTTTGGCAAGTGGTGTTGAGGAGAATATTTATAGTTTTAGGGGGAGTACATTAAGGGGCAAGGAAAAAGAAATTGGAGGTTCTAGTTCAAGTCAAAACCTTGTTGATGAGCCTTCTGATGATGAAGAAGATGATGACCAAGTAGAACCCTTGGTTATGGCACTTGAAGAGTTTGAGGATCGTGTTGAAGAATAGGAGTTTGAGTCTTTGTGATTTAATTATGTTTTTGATTTTTTGCTTTATATGTTATGACTTATGAGTATTATTGACTGTATTTTCTTTTAATCTAAGACTATATTACCTCTATTTAGTCATTTAATATTTTTTATTTTTATACTAAATATTGCTTTTTTTTAAAAAGTGTCCGCTTCGCTTCATGCTTCTCGCTTCTGTGAAGCAAGCCCTCGTCACTTTTTTCCGCTTCTCGCTTCCCAAAACACTGATACAAGGAGTGGGCATTGGCCTCTGAAGCAAACTTTCCCTGAGCTTTACAACTTATGCTAGGCCAGGATGCCACTGTGGCTGAATTATGGACAGGACAAAGTTGGAATCTTTATCTAAGAAGGAATTTAAATGACTGGAAGGTGACCTTTATAGCAACTTTTAAGAATACAGTCCCTCAAGATCTCAACCTCACCGAAGAAAAGGGCAGTCTAGTGTGAAAGGTGGATATAAAAGGTATTTTCACTGTCAGGTCTGCTTACAAAGATCTGACACAAACAAATACTCAAGAGATAGGATGGCCATGGAGAATGATCTGGAAGACCAAAGTGTTTTATAAGGTAAACTGATTTACATGATTATTGGCAAAATAAGCAGTCCTCACTCATGAAAACCTCAACAAGAGTAAACACAACCTATGCTCTAGATGTTATCTATGTGAAGAACAAATAGAGTCAGTCAACCATTTCTTTTTGCATTGTAAATGGACAAACCAGTCATGTCAGATGTTCATCAAGAAAGCAAGATCAAGTGGGTGAAACCTAGGAGAATCGAAGTGCTAAGAAGTTGGAACACTGATGGTAATGCAAGAAAAGAGGAGAGAAGGAAGATGGATCCCTCATATATTTGGTGGACCATATTGAAAGAGAGAATCAGAGATTTTCTCAAGGCAAAAAGAGAGACATACAGAAGATCAAGACAGACCGCTTAGGCCTTTACTATTTGGGTAAAAACAAGTAGTTATAGACCGTACAGATAACCAGATTTATTAGGAACTTGAGACAACTTTTGTGATGGGGGACTACACTTTATTGTATCACACATGTGCATATATAGAAGTAAAGTTTACCATTAGAAAAAAAAACAAATAAAAAAATGTGAAGCAATCTTTCCTTATCTAGAAAAAAAATATGAAGCAATCTTTCTTAAGTTGTAAAAAAATGTGAAGCAATCTTCACTATCCTACATCACCTAACCAGGAAGAAAATAACCTCAACATTGTGAACTCATGTTCACGTGGTACAAATAATACTCTGTTCAGAGTTACACGACACTTCCTATTTCGGGATCTTACAAAAAAAATTGACACCATTCACTAATAATAATACAATAGTTTTCTGTATGGCGCTCACAATTTTCAAGATTCAAATTTACTTGATTACTAAATTTTTAACTTTCATGTCTTTATTTCTCGGGCATTACTTTAATACTTCCTTTTACAAAAACTTAAGCAATATGTAGGTTAATTAAAATCTTAAAACTCGATGTCTAGTAAATCACCATAACCTGAAATAATATAGAAGAGGTACATGGTTTGCTATAGACTTAAGCGTATTCACACATAGAGCTTATGAAAAACCCGTAATTTTGTCTTATAAAATATAAAAAATAGGATGGTATGTTTAAATATTACATTCACTTTTTTCTTAGTAAAAATTGCATCAAGTGCAAAGAAGAAACAAGTCTAATTGCCAAAACAACAAATAGCAAATTGGATAACAATTAGTTTGATGATAAATAAGATCTCATGGCCATCATGCCATTTCAGTTTAGAGAAGTCATGACCAAATTACAGCCACTTGCACTTAAAATAAAGACAGAAAGTAGAACCTCTAGATTGCAATAAGAGAGGAGACCTAACATGACAAATTGTGGAAGATGCTTTCACATCTAAAGAAAATTATAAAATGAGCACCCATCAAAAACTATGCTTAAAAAATTACAAATTTATTCCTTATCAAAACAAAGAAAAAGAGCAGGGGATTTGTCTCCAAACCAATTAAAACATGTTGTGAGGAACATTTTTCCAACTTGGCTTAGAAATATGTGTTCATTGCCCTTCTAAAAAAAGAAATACAATCATTGTTCCTAGGTTATATTATTAGGTGCGTTTCTATTAAGGAGAGAAACTCAAACCTCAATATCAAATGGCAACATGGAAGTCACTATTGGTTTTTAGATCAACCTTGGTGCCAAAGGAGTCTCAGGTTTGCATATCAATTGGAGAAAAAGTCAGTGGTATGTCTCTAATATGGAGGAACTGTCTTGGGATTTATTATTTACTTGTGGGTAGGGAGGTGAAGGGGCGGGGGTTACCCTACCATTTATCTGGGCATGCCCTTAGGTGCCAAATCAAAGGCTATGAACACCTGGAATCTGTGATTGTGAGTGTGAGAAGAAGCTTGCCAGATGAAAATCTCAATATATGTTCCGGAGAGGCAGTCACTCTAATTTATTTTGTTTTAGATGCCTTTCTTACTTAAACGATTTTCTATCTTCCCATTCTTGATGGAGTGATACAAAGACGGGATAAAATTAGGAGGGATTTCTTATGGAAAGGGACAAAGGGCAATGATTACACTATCCAACATTCAATCAAGTGGAACAAGGTTCATTGGGGAAGAAATCCAGTGTATCTGAAAAAGCAAAGCAAAGCCCTTAGACTAAAGTGGCTATGGAGGTATTCTCAAGAACACCAACCATACTGGGAAAAGTAATTCAAGAAGAATATAAAGACGAGAACAAGTGGATGACAAAGGAGGTTCTTACACCATGGAAGTCCATAAATCTTGTGGCCTCTCTGAAAGAGCAATACAACCATCAGGGTAGGAAATGGCAATAAGATTTCATTTTGGGAGGATAAATGGTTGGGCACTTCTTGTCTAAAAAGTATCTTTTCTAGAGATGCATGACTTGGAAGTGAATAAATAAGTGAGTTTAGCTAAGGTTAGGACACACCATGGATGGAATTTCCAATTTAGAAGGAATTTCAATGAATGTGATATCACGGTTGTGACTGACAATTTTGTTAGGTTGGAAGTTTTTATGGGAAAATAGAAGGAACGCGATAGCTTATATTTGGTGCAGAAATAACAAAGGCACATTCAAGGTAAACACTGCATATAAGTTGCTAAATCAAGGTGGACGACAATCTTCTCTTTTGCCTTGGAAGCAGATTTGGAAACCTAAGTTCCCTTTCAAGGTGTCATGTTTCACTTGGCTTCTAGCAAGAGAAGTATTTTTAACACATAGAAAAGGAAGTTCTCCATGTGTTATGGATGTTATTTATGTGGGGAAGAGGTTGAGACAGTCAACCATCTATTTCTCTCGTGCAGAATAACATCCTAGCTATGGAGGATTTTCATTAGTCTCAAGAGTTTTGCCTGGGCTATGCCTAACATAATCACACATATTCTTCACACTTGGGGAGAAGTAGGGGTGGGAGCTGCATATAGAGATAGATGGAGGATTGTCCCATCCTATATTTGGTGGACTATTTGAAAAGAAAGAAATGCTAGATGTTTCGAGAGCACGAGCTATGATCTTCAAAAGATCAAACTAACTTGTATCAGGCTTCCTTGCTTCTGGCACAAACAGAGGACACTGAATCCATAATAGATATCCTACGTTCCTGTTAGGATTCAGATTCAGTTTTCTTACTCTTTTGACAAGTTCCGTATATGATTTCAGTGCAACCCATGCACTCGTTCAATGAATATACACAAGTTCCGTCTATGATTTTCAGTGCAACCCATGCACTCGTTCAATGAATATACACAAATTCTAGTCTATATCAACAACAAAGATTGTCACTAACCAGTAATATCGCAGATTTTTACTAGTTAAAGCATTTGTTCCATTAAGATGAATGTCCACGATTAATTAGGCGCATATTACACGTTTGCACCCTATTGTAGACAAAAAAAATTGATATTTGAATAGAGAAGGGTAGAGGAGCGGGTCAATTGTCCAATATTTAAGAAGATTAGACCTTTGTCCTACTTTATGCCTTATGTGTAAAAGAACAACACCTTCTTCATAATGAGGGGATGACATCCTCACCTCAAACCTCATCCATCGTTCCTTTTCTTGAATAGGGTGAAACCTCATCATCTTGAGATCCATGTGGTTTACAAGAGGACCCTATTCCTCTAATTATCCTATAGAAACTCCTTGACAGCTTGGGTGTGGTAGCTTTCTTATGGTACTCCAGGATAATACATACACAAAAAGAAATCCTAATTCCTAGGCAGCGTCTGTCTATGCAGGGAAACCCTATCTTAGGATTGTGATACTATGTAATCCACTGTGTTTAAAGCGACCTTTTCAAAAAAGAGTGGCACCAACTCTAACGGGAAGGCGAGCTGGAGTGACAACTTGAAAATCAGGGTTCAAATTCCTGCAGAGATTACACTAGGTTAATTCTTCTAATGTGCCTATCATTGAAGATTAAAGAGTTAATAGAGTACATGTGGTAGCTAGAGACAACAACTGGATTAATTGACGTGTGTTTAAGCTGCCCAGACACTATCATAGTTACCCAAAAAAAAATGAGGGCCAGAAATTTGTGACAACTCATAGTTTTTACTCGCATGACTTAGCCACAACCCTTTACACAAGGCAGATCAAAGTTTTCACAAAAACATAGTCTTTTTCTTGACACTGAGAGCAGAAAGATCTTTTACTTTCTTCCTTGACTTCCCATACAAATGTTCCATATAGGAGTTCCAATGCAAGATAAAAGCTCCAAAAAGAAAGCGAAAAAAAGATAATCACAGAAAAAAAAAGTCCAAGCTTTAGAATCAAACGTACACATGCAAAGTAGAAATTTTTGAAACGAAAAAAATGCAAAAGATAAAGACTTCCCGTCGGACGGGGAGCGAAGGGTTAAGGGAGAAGAGACAATGAAGTTTCCTCGCTAACCTTTTCTGGTAAAGAAGAAGAACTAGCCGGATAAGGTGAGCGAAGAGCACCGATGGAAAGCAATCTCGGCAGCAACGGCAGGGCGGCAGCGGCAGCGGCGTAGTGAGAAAATTTCGCGACGGAGGTTCGAATAAAGGGAAAGTTGGGAATGAGACTGAAACCAGATTTAACCCCGTGTATTTATATGTGGGACATTTCATTTAAATAAAATAGCATTCTAGTAAAATAGAAAATATCTTCTCCAAGCACAATTTATTTTATCATCTACTTTCTAATTATAGAGAGTGGATTGGAGAACTATTCATATGCTATATTTCACTTTTTAAATATTATATTATTATTTTTATTTTTTTTAATTAACATATTAATTTTTATATAAGGCTATTAGTTAAATATTTAATATATGCAATTTTTTAAAAATTTAATATAACATTTTAAAATATATTTTATTTTATATATATTACTTTCATCTCAAATTAATAATGTTTTAAATATTTTTTTAATTTTTGTAATATAATTTGATGTTATATTAATTTCCATTATAAAGAATGCACAAAATTTAGATAATAAGATTAAAAAAATAATTTTAAAATATAATACATAACATAATAAATTAAATTTAAGATGACAATAGATGCAACGCATAACATAATAATTATAAAAATCACAACAATAATTTAGTAATCCGATAAGTTGTTTCTAGATTTAACAATATTCGAAAAAAGGAATTAGTGTATGATTTAAAGAAGTTGTTATTGTGATTGCGGTTGTGCTTGTTGATTTATTTTTTCAATTATCTATAGTTGTTCTATAGAAATTTAAAATAATATATAATTTAAAATTGAATTAAAAAAATTCAAAAAATTAAAATTTTATATTACATGAAATTATATAGGATGATTATTCATAAAAATAAAAGGAAAGAAAATATTTATATTATGGATTAAGAAAACAAAGTAGGAAATAGAAATAATAATATAATATTGAGGAGAGAAAAAAATTTATACAGTAAAATAGAGAATTGGGTTGGAATTGATTGTCTGAAAAAATAGAGAACTCTATATTTGAAATCGAAGATGCTCTTATTCTTCCAAAAACAAAATAAAAATACATTACATTAAATTTAAATAAATAAAATGTGGCTTGATTTAATTTTTAATTTTTTAAAACTATGTAATATTAATTTTTTACTTTAATAAGAAGTTGAATTGAATCAGTGATTATGTATATAATTTTTATAACTAATTTAATATTGATTGATTATTTTTGTACGTATGTATCACGTTAGTTAATGATAAATGTGTATAAGAAAAATTATTGTGTGAATATTAATTATTAAGCACTAATATTTTTTTTTTAAATAGCGTAATTTTTTTCAAATAAAGGTATTTAAATATGTGTTCCTCTTTAATTGTATGTATGTTCCTTTTTAAGATAAATAGGTTTTGTCTTACACTAAAAAGAACGTAAAAGTTTGCTTTGAAAATATTCAAAAATTCTATTGATAATTATTAGTTCAAAATTACAATAGAGAATTAGTTCAAAATTACAATAGAGATCTTGTACTTCAAAAGATATATAGGAGAATTATACAGTAATCAATATATGATTAGAAATAATACCTATCTATAAAATTACATATTACATACACAATAACACAAAAAAAATGGATATACAATAAATGAAGAGAATTTTATTTTATTATTTACATATTGCATAACCTATATCTGAAGATAGGTAGTAAATTAATAATCTAAAGTAAATTTGGGTAGAGCTACACAATGCTCTCTTGTTCACATTTTCTTCTTTTTCGAGTATACTCTTGTTCATCTCTTTTGAATCTCCAAAAGAATCACATGGATGTTGTCACGCATTGAACTTACATCATAGACGTGGCCGACACTTAATGTCATTGCTCGCTCGAACATTTTCATAACATGAGCATATGTTTAGACATTAGTAAAAACAAGTTTAAAAGCACTTGAAGAGACGAGACTTGTAAAAGAAATACTTATCATAAATGGTTTTGATTTTAATGAGAAAGTCCAATCGAATTAGTGATTATGTATATGATTTTTATAACTAGTTTAATGTATGTATTTTGGATGTATATATCACATTATTCTTTTTATATTATTAAAAGCATGAATGTCCTGAATATTGTTGTTTAAACTTCTTACCCTTCATTGAAAGACTTTATTTTAGATAAAATTGTCTTTCACTATTTATTTTATTTATTTATAACAAAACTTACAAGGTTTGTAATTTTGGTTGTGCCCATAATGAAGGAATTCAATTGGCAAGTGAATCCATGATAGTGTATTGTCCCCCTAACATAATTAAAGTGCTCTTGAGCTTAAGGATTGAGAAGGACATTATACCACTAGCTTTTGTAATGAACCCTTCTGGGGACAAAGCGAAACCCTCCAAGTGGAGAAAGGGAAGACCCTGACAACTACTCCACCAACACAATCACGAATGATGAACTACATAATTTGGAACTTTAGAAGCCCCAATATTAGATGTCACTGCGAAGCATGGTTAAATTGCAAGAGCCTACTATGTCAGCCCTTCTAGAGACTAAACTAGGAGCGCATAAGCATTTCATTGAAGTCCTAAAGTTCGACTCCCAGATCCAATCTGCTGCTACCGGCCTATCCGATATCATAGTGATTATGTGGAAAAAAGACGTGTTAAAGCTCAACGACATCTTCATCACTTAACAAAGCATTCATGTCATGGTCCATGTATTATTTAAACCTCTCCCGTGGTTTTATCATGCTATCTATGCTAGTAATGATTATGCCACTTTAACTAGTCTTTGGGAAGAATCATCAACATCTCTAATGTTGTTCATGGGGATTGGCTGATTGGAAAGGGGAGGGGTTAATGAAATCTTAAGAGCCACCAATAAGTATGGGTGACTGAGTATTAATAACGGCAGAGCCAATGTTATTAAGAATTGCCAGGACCACTGTAATTTAGTAGACCTAGGATTTAAAGGTTGTAAATACACCTAGACTAATAAGAGGTACAAACACAAATCCGACCTTATCCTCGAAAGGTTGGATAGATGTCTAGCCAATAACTCCTGGATTACTAGATTCCCCTATGTATCTGTTACCCACTTACCTAGGACCAAGTCTAACCATTTGCCCTTCATGTCAGACTTTATTTTATTGGCCACTTAGGCAATAAGAAACCTTTCAGAATGGGACCCCACATTTAGAGAGCTTGATAAAAATTATTTTGATGCCCCCTAAGTCTCTCTAAGTCCATTAACCGCCTCCAATAGGATGCCATTGAATGAAACAAGATTACTTTTGGTATCATTTTCCATAAAATCAAAAGATTCTTGCTAGGCTAAAAGGAATTCAAAATTCACCCTCCCTCCATCATAGCCACTTCCTATGGGATCTTGAGACCATCCTCCTAAAAGACTATGAATATCTCCTTCAAGTGGAGGAAGAATTCTAGAGAACCAAATCCAGAATAGACTGGCTTAGCCTGGGAGATGCCAATACTAGCTTCTTCCACACATCCATCATCAATAAACGGAGGAGGACCAAAATCCTTAGCCTCCAAGATGACATAGGTAACAACATCACTAACCAAGCCCATCTTACCTCTCATATTTTCTCCCATTTTGTTAACCCCTTCACGACTGGGCACTCTCGCTCAAACCTCATCCATCACGAGGCCAGAATAAGGCAGCTATACAAGCCTCCTTTGAGTGAGATTGACTACCCCCTTATATATGTTGAAATCACTCATGCAATTAACTTCTTCATGGCCATCAATGCCCCTAGCCTTGATGGCATTCACCCCCTCAGGTATAAAACCCCCAAAACGAGTTAGGGTTTCTAGAGCCTCACATGTGCCTATAAGCTTTTTAACATGTTAATCAAAGTGTTTTAAAGTATACAAGATTGATTTGAGTTGATTTGGAAGTCAAACGTCAAGGGACGACTAAGATGTTCGATGACTAGTCACCAAAGGGACCTTATGTGTTTTTTATGTGCTTATGTGTGTGTCATGATCTTTTAAAGTCCTTATATGAGTAATAATGATGTTTATAGTCAGTGTGGTGAGTTTCATTAAGTTTATAGGTCAAACATACAAGAGCGTTCGAGATGTTTGAAAGTTTGCCCTTGAGACGTACATGTGTGTGTCTTGAGTGTGCCTAACATGTTTGGACGTGTTGCGTGTAATTGTTTTGGGTGAAACTGATGTCAAAGGTCCTTGAAGTGTTAAAGTATATAATTACGTTGTAAACTTCCAAGTACGACCCCCCAGGGGCCCCGCAAGAAGCCCTCAAGGAGAACCCAAAGGCTGTCGAGACACTGCCTTGGCAGTGTCAATCGATGAAGCCAAGGAACGGTCCGGCAGTCCACCAACACCCTGTTGATGGTGAGGCATTCATGTACACTTATCCTGGTGAAGTCTTAAGGCAGTTGTCCATCCTCAAACCCAAATGACGGCCTACAGTATGGTCCATCGATGGACCTACTGGGCGTCGATGGGTCCGTCAATACAGGCTGTATAAAACTGTCGTGCATGCTGTCTAACTAAGGGGTGAACGGGAAATTTATCCCACGTGCTAAACTGACCCTACATGATTTATTTGGTTATTTTTGGGTGTATTTAGGAGATCAAAAAAGTGATAACCCCATTTCCGATTTAATTCACATAAATTAGATATCCCTCCCAAACCAAACTCTCTCTAGGACCTCCATTGAAGGTCAAGATCAAGAATGCTTGAAGCTTGTATTCATATGGTTTCTTCATCAATTTTTAGAGGTTTTATTCTACATTAAGCTATGGTGATCCTTTATCTCTAGTTATCCTTCCATCTAGAGAGTTAATCACAAAGTTTTCAAAGAAGTTTCATGATCAAATCTCTTCTTCTTCAATCTAGCCATGGGTTCTTTCTCAAAACATTTTCAAAAGCTTAATCATGATAAATTGATGTTAATATGATGATCGTAACGTGGATTTCAATCCAATTGCATGATGAACCCACGTCCCCTTCAACTCTCGTTTTAGCCTATGTATGGGCATTATGATCGTGGCTTTGTATTGTTTGAATTGTGGTTCTAGTACGTTGAATTGCTAATACCTACTGCCTAGTATGTGTATTGATGGT